TGACAACGAATGTATGTATGTTCATGTATAACTGAAAAATTGTGCTCTACACTGGAATTTGACAAAACATTGTAAAATGACTATAACTCAATAAAAAAAAGATTTGCCAAAAAAAAATTACAAGTAAAGAATTGCAGTGGAGAACTAGAATCTACCCAAAAAGTCAAATAGAAATTTTAAAACTGGAAAATATAATAATTGAAATTAAGAACTGGATAGATGGGTTTAATCACAAAGCAGACACAGCTGAAGAGAGGACTAGACACCTACCTACTAAGAAATAGGTCAACAGAAAACATACAGACTGGATCAAACGGAGAAAAAAATAGAAAATACAGAAAGGAAATTAAAGATACGAACATAGTAGAAAGGCATAAAATATGTGTAATTGTCCCAGAAGGAGAGGAGAGAGAATACAGAGCAAAAGCAATATTTGAAGAGATTACTGACTAAGAATTTTCCAAAAGAAATAAAAACCACAAGCTATATATATTTAAGAAATGCTAAGAAGCCCAGGCAGGATAAATACAAAGAAAACTACATCCACATCTTTGGCACATCAGAGTAAAACTGCTGGAAGACAAGGCAAAGAAAAACCTTAAAAAAAAAACAGAGGGAAAAAAGGAATATTACCTTCAAAGTAGTAACAATAGCAACAATTGACTTCTCTATTGAAATAATGGAGGCCAGAACAATGAAGGACAGCTTCAAAGTCCTGAAAGAAAATAACAGTCAACTTAGAATAATATGTCTTGCAAAAAAAATTCTTTAACAAGAAATGAAAATAAGACATTTTCAGACAGAAATTAAAATATTTAACCAATCAACCAACATAAAAAAAAAGACCTAAAGAAAGTCATACAAGAAGGAAAACAATCCCAGATGAAATCAAATATATCGAGGAAGGAATGAAGAACAATAGGAAGGGTCAACATGTGTAAGGATAAAACTTAAAATCATTATATTTCTATATAAAAAATTCCAAATAATCTACAAAAAAAAAAGGCTCCTAGAAATAACAAGTGAGTTTAACAAGGGCACAGGACACAAGGTCAATATACAAAATGTATTGTATTTCTATATACCAGCAATAAACATTGGATTCAAAAATTTAAAAGCAATCCATTTACTTTAGCACCCTTAAAAATGAAAGACTTAGTTATAAATCTAACAGATATGTGCAGGATCTGTGCTTTGAAAACTATAAAATACTGATGAAGGAAATCAAAGACCTAAATAAATGAAAAAATAATCCATGTTTATGAACTGGAAGAATCAAATTGATAATAACCACTCTCATTGATCTATAGATTCAATACAATCCCAATCAAAATCTCAGTATATTTTTAAAATCATTACTGACCAGCTAAAATGATTCTAAAATGTATATGAGAGAGGCAGGAATCCAGAATGACCAAAACAACTTTGAAAAGGAAGAACAATGTTGAAGGAATTAAACTACCTAATTTCAAGACTTAATGTAAAACTATGGTAATCAAGACAGTGTGGTATTAGCAAAAAGATGGACACATAGATCAATGGAACAGAACAATCTAAAAAGAGACTCAACTGATTTTTGATAAAAGTCAAAGGCAATTCAATGGAAAAAAGATAGTTATTTTAATAAATGGTGCCGGAATGATTAGATGTTCATATACAAAAAAAAAAAAAAAAAAGACCTCAACCTATACCTCACACCTTATACAAAAATTAACTCAACTACTCCTAAGTGTATGCAAGATAACTGACAGTATATGTTCACACAAAACCTTGTACGTGAATGTTCATAATAGCCAAAAATAACCCAAATGTCCATTGAATGATGAGTGGTAAATAAAAGTGTATATATTCATCCAATGGAACATTATTCAGACATAAAGAGGAATGGTGTACTAATACATGCTACAAAACAGATGAACCTTGAGAATAATACACTAAGTGAAAGACTGTAGAGGCAGGAAGTAGATTAGTGGTTGCCTAAGGGGGAGGGGCAATGGGCAGTGACTGCTAATGAGTTCTGGGGTTTCTTTTTCAGACGATGTGAAATGCTCTGGAATTAGTGGTGATGGTTGCATAACCTTGTGAATATACTAAAAATCACTGAATTGTACACTTTCAAAGGGTGAATTTTATGGTTTGTGAATTATATCTCAATAAAACAAAATGTTTTTTTAAATTAACTCTAAATGGATCATAAACCTAAATGTATAATGTGAAACTACAAAACTTCTGGCAGAAACACATGAGAAAATCTGCATGACCCTACATTAGGCAAAGAGTTTCTAGACACTAAGAGCACATTCCACAAGAGCATGATCCACAAAAGAAACAAATGATAATTTGAACTTTATTAAAATTAAAAACTCATGCTTTGCAAAAGACACTGTTAAGAGAATTCAAAAGCAAGCCATGAACTGGAAGAAAACATTTATAAATCATATTTCTGACAAAGACTTGTATACAGAATACATAAGTAATTCTAAAAACTCAACAATAAAAAAAAAAGCAAGCAACACAATATTTAAAATGCCAAAAGTTCTGAACACACACTTCACCAAAGAAGATATATGGATGGCTAATAACCACGTGAAAAGATGTTCAGCATTAGTTATTAGGGATAACCAAATTAAAACCATCATGAGATACTACTACATACCTATTAAAAGGGCTAAAATGAAAAAGACTGACTACAATACCAAGTGATGATGAGGATGCAGAGTAATTGGAACTGGTGGAGATGCAAAATCGTAAAGCCACTTTGAAAAATAATTCGGCAGCTTCTTTAAAAAAAATTAAACATAAACATATCATATGACCCAGTAATCCTACTTCTAGATATTTTTCCAAGAGAAATGAAGATGTATGCTTATGACAAGTGAATGTTTATAGGAGCTTTATTCATAATTGCACAAAACCGGAAGCAACCCTGATGTCTTTCAGCTAGCAAATGGATAAACAAGGTATAGTACAACTATACACACAACAACACAAAAGTATCTTAAGTACATACTGCTATGTGAAAGAAGCCAGACCAGAAAGCTACGTATATTTCTAAGGGTTGGAGCTGGGAACAGAGTTGACTATAAGGGAACAGCACAAAGGAATTTTGGGAGTGATCGATAGACTGTTCTATACCAAGAGTTTTTGGTGGTGGATATATGACTCTGCATTTGACAAAACCCATAGAACAGTACACAACAAAGAATAAAGCTTACTGTATGTAAACTTTTAAAAAATCAACCAACATGTGGAGAGAACCCCCAGTGAAATGGAAACTGCTAACTGTAACAAATGAAAAAATAAATATTGTTTTAATGGAAGAATTATAATATCATGTGAGTTTTAAAATATATGTTGAATTGAAACATGAAAATAAAAGCATAAAAACTGGAGATGGGAAATGGAATTAAAGTATTCCAAAGCCCTTACATGACATGAAAAGTACTAAAAGTACTATTTCATATTAGACTTTAATAAATCAAAGGTGTTGAATGCTCTAAGGTAACTACTAAAAATAATAGTAAAGGAATTTATAACAAGATAATAGAGGGAAGAAATGGAATAATAAAAATACTTGTTTAATCTAAAAGAAGGCAAGAAATGAGAAAAAAAGGAATATAGATTAAGTGGGATAATTACAGAATACATAAAATGGTAGATATAAACCCAAATATATTAACAAGATTATATTAATGTCATTAACAAGAGACATTCATTAAAAATAAGGACACAGAAAAAATTTTAAGTAAAGAATAGGGGAGGAACCCTATGCAAATACTAACCAAAAGAGGATGATGTCACTATACTAAAATCAGACAAAATAGGCTTTAAGGCAAAAAAGCATCACAAAATATTAAGAGAGACACTTCATAGTGATCAAAAGCACAATCAACCAAGAGGATTGAATGATTCTAAATGTATATGCATGTAATAACATAGCCTTAAAATATATAAAAACAGAAACTGACAGATCTAAAAGGAGAAATAAACATGTCCCAATCATAATG